AGGAAAGAATAGTTTATATCTGAGTTTGTCAAGAATGGACCCTTGTTCTTGTCCAAGAGGCTCATGAGGCTTGTTGTGGAGTAGCACATGCTAAAGCGATGGAAGCTTCAAGGCGATTAAGCTAGTGTCATGACCATGTCGCATTCCCGATTTACATACATAATACATATTTCAGTAATAATAAAGAACTGAAGAATATTAGTAAAACTACAGGCATGAAATACATGGCAAAATTCCTCCCAAAGAATGACAATACAACCCCGAACCCTTGAGCTTTTTTTTAGCTGAAACAACGAAATTTGTTTGTTTGGTTGTGGCAGCATCAGGCAGGCCAGATTGAATTACCAAACAGGCCGGTTTCGGACAGCGTCACATAGTTTGCCCGAATTAGGTTTTAACCCAGGGGTTCCCAAGCCAGGGGTCGCGACCCCAGATTGGGTCGGAGTGATAAGTAGATAGGGTCGCAAATAGGTCATGGGGTCGGTGGGGTTGCTGAAGTATGGTAGAGGATGGATGTACAAATCATCTAAGATTTGACAAACCATGTTAAATTTAGCAGTTTATACCATGGCTTACTGTTAAACAAATAAATTGAAAAAGAATTTCATTGTTTTTTTGTTTCTCATAATTTTTTTCAGAGTGAACACTAGAAACCGGAGTATCTATTAGGGTTTCTAGCTCCAAACAAGAGAATCAAAATTTAAACTTTGGCGCGAGCAAGCTTTCCTTAGTATACCGGTACTTTAAGTTTAGGGCAGGGGTGTGCAAACTGCGGCCCGCAAAGGAAAATTGTGTGGATTCAACAATTATTGTATCTGGCCCTTCCGTAATAAAGGTTGCACACCCCTGCTTTTTATGAATGGTTAGTAAAATTTACACTCATTGAGTTAGTGGAAATTATTAATTCCATCTGGCCAGCCTGATGCTGCCGCAACCAAACAGAAACCAAATTTTGATGTTTTAGCTAAAAAAAATAGCTCAGGAAATTGTTCGAAATAAATTCAGTTTTGGCACGAGGCTTATTGTTTTCCAATTTTGCGTTTGTAACACTGCTAACATTGTTCATAAAATGCAAGTCACACTTACTTGGCCCGCCAGTCTCAGTAGGTAAAATTATTGGCTCCTGGGTTTGAAAACCTGATAAATATGTACACTAGAACATAGGTTCTCAAAGTGCCCATGGCTCTGAATGAGAAACCTAGGGGCTCCATGAGCTATTTGTTTACTTGTTAAAATAAGTCATAATCGAAAAATGTTTTCAATCAAAACGTGGACGGAGGGCACTAGGATGTGTGCGCGATATCAATTTTCACCAAAAACGATATTCTGAAGGTAGCGAATAGCCATATTGAATATTAAAGTCAAATGAACATCCCTGGTTGTGATAGGTGCGATGGCCTACTACGATTTGTAGTGTTGGCTTATATGTGAATTTTTATAAATTTCCCGTTAAGGGTGTTTTTAGGGGATCGGCTTATATGCGAGGATATATGGTAAGTATGAAAGAATAGTTTATATCTGAGTTTGTCAAGAATGGACTCTTGTTCTTGTCCAAGAGGCTCATTGTGGAGTAGCACATGCCAAAGCCATCACATGGTGCCAGTCGCGATGACCATATCATTTTAGTGTAAAAGGACCGGCATTTGATCATTTCTTTAACAGTAATGCATCTACTCATTTGTTTGTTGGCTTTTTAATATTAAACGGGCAAATATAAGAACTGATGGTAAGGTCTTAGAAACAAAATTATATAAATGAAGTGTTTGTCTCACCATCAGATGTCAAATCAAGAAAATTTTCATATAAACAGTTTTAAATCATTCCCGAAATTAAAATTTGATATATCAAATGAGATTTGAACCCAAACTGTGTTACTTGCAATGCCAAAACAGTAATGTCCAATGCTTTAACCCAGTGGTTCCGAATTCTTTTTCACAAAATCCCCCCCCCTTCCCTATTTTGGAACTCTTATTCCTCCCTCACTACACATTTAATAATACTTTACTAATTCAATCTTCAATGAATCCTTACTAATACCGGAGACATCGGAGAAATAGATAGCGATGAGAGCTTCAGGGCGATTAAGCTAATGTCATGACCAGTGTTAACTATTAGCGCACTTTTTTTAGGGACTGCGAAATAGCACTTTTTTCCGATTTTGAAGAGAAATAGCACTTTTTTTCTGATTTCGAAAGGAAAAAAATTCAAAATTGAAAAATATGTTTATGTGAGTCTTAAGTTGTCAAATAAGTAACAAACCAGTACTTTTGTAACTCAATTCTGCATATCATAACGATATTTACCGGAATTCCAACCTATGAGATGCAGACATAGAAAATAAAGCTTTTGCATTAACCGCAAAATTCTTGTTAATAATATGATTATTATACAAGCACGCGTATTCCGCTTCTCCCGCAAAACGCTCCAACGGCGTAATCGCGGTGAGTTTCTTTGAAGGAGAGTGTGGTCATGTGACATCCACGAATTGCCTTTCGGGTGCAAGTTTGAGGGCCTTTGTTCCCTTCTTAAGAGATTTTACTGGATTTAGAAAGTTCTGAAACCCGACACCACATTATTTAGTAATATAATGTACGCTTATGCAGTTATTTTTTGAATTAGAAGAAACTTTGCAAAAATTATCAAATTCACAAAACACATATCATATGCCTTATTAACAGCCATTGCATTGTAACCAGGAATGTTAAAAGCAAGTGGCATTTTTCGGAATTTTGCGACATTGCATCCATTTCTCATTGATATGCGAGGTTATGATATTAATGTCCAGAATATTTGTGACCGTAACACAATTAAAACCGACAGACTTTTGTCATTACCATATCTTATCTTTGGTATTTAGCGCTGATAATGATAAATAAGAATGTGTAATTGTAATTGTTGATTGCAATTCCGGAGGCGTATTTTCCTTTCTCTCCATGAAACAGACATGAAACGAATTTTACCGCCATCGTGGGTGCATAAAAGGAGAGAAGGGTTATAAGTTAATTAAAGGACGTACTTTTCCCGACTCAATCACTTTTATGAATACGAATCACAGCCCATTTAATAACATTAATTTACAGCGATTTACGGGTAAAAACTAACCTAGGGCTATCGCTAACAGGTAGAAACGATAAATGTAAAAAAAAGAAATTCCCTTGCCTTTTTGTGTCATATTTTTCAATTCCTAATTTTGCACAGAGCGTGTCAGCACCATTTTTGTAAACTTAGAAACGTCGAACCATGCAAATAATATATTTATGGAAATTTCTCAAGATATCGGGAGAACATATATATTTTTATTTTAACCATGTAGAAATGCCCTTATTGCCGATTCATTCACGAGTTTAGTATCAGTGTTTTAACTCAAATCTGAGTTACGTGAATACTCTACACTGAGTATTCAAGGGATTACCAATTTGCGGAGTTTTAAAATATTATTTATTACGAAAGTTACACGGACACTATCTAAAATCAAAAGCATAGAAATACCAACTATCCGCCTCACAAATATCGCATCCCGGGGTCAGTAATGGTAATATTGTTCGCCTAAAAAATTGCGACCGTAATTTACAAACTGTGATACAAATCCTACACAGAAGATAAAAATCAGGATACAATTAAATTGTGTTGTGAATGCACTCCGTAATAGTGGTCTTTAACATCTTCGCCGATGTGAACCCACAATTCTGTCCGAAATATAATATATTTTGCTCGCCACTAATCACACCGCGCATGTAAATAATCATTAAATGGCAATAAAAAATCAACTTCATTAACAATAAATTCCAAGCAATAGTTCCACATTCATGCATTTGATCGACGCTACATGCGAGCGCGTTTTTGTACATACAAACCATTATGAGGCTACTGATATCTGCATGTTATAGTTCTCTCTAAAATTAATTTTCGCGATTTTTAGTGTTTTATTTCTGAATGCGGATACCCGCTGACTACGGATAAATGGTCGATGTTTAAAATAGGACTTGCAAAATATTCACCAACACCGACAGGCAAAGAAAGGTGTGCTATATGTAACTGGAATTTCGCTGTGAACGACCATACCTTTTAATTTATTAAACGCATTATGTCGTCGTGAAACACACTTTTGGTGCAATGTTTTAATTTCAATGGTAATATTGTTCGCCTAAAAAATTGCGACCGTAATTTACAAACTGTGATACAAATCCTACACGGAAGATAAAAATCAGGATACAATTAAATTGTGTTGTGAGTGCACTCCGTAATAGTGGTCTTTAACATCTTCGCCGATGTGAACCCACAATTCTGTCCGAAATATAATATATTTTGCTCGCCACTAATCACACCGCGCATGTAAATAATCATTAAATGGCAATAAAAAATCAACTTCATTAACAATAAATTCCAAGCAATAGTTCCACATTCATGCATTTGATCGGCGCTACATGCGAGCGCGTTTTTGTACATACAAACCATTATGAGGCTACTGATATCTGCATGTTATAGTTCTCTCTAAAATTAATTTTCGCGATTTTTAGTGTTTTATTTCTGAATGCGGATACCCGCTGACTACGGATAAATGGTCGATGTTTAAAATAGGACTTGCAAAATATTCACCAACACCGACAGGCAAAGAAAGGTGTGCTATATGTAACTGGAATTTTGCTGTGAACGACCATACCTTTTAATTTATTAAACGCATTATGTCGTCGTGAAACACACTTTTGGTGCAATGTTTTAATTTCAATTTTCGAGAATCATCCTCGTTGTATTTCGTGTTCCTTCGCAAATTCTGCCTATATATGATGTTTCTACCCGATTTTAACTAACTCGCACGCAAATCAAGGCATGCCGACATTTTAAAAAATTGCTTGTCTTTGCGAAAGCTCTGAAATAGTATAACATTAATGTAAACGAGAAATTAGGCTAAAAGCTAGTTTAAGATCACGAAACGGGGAAAGATTTTAGAAGTGATCTTGTGTAATATTTAGGAGAAAAAGTTTGAAGGGAAAGTAGGTCAACTTATCTCTTAAAACAGGGGGTGGTGTCTATCAAAATGATATTGCTTAATATATCGGAGAAAAAAATCTTCGGAGTGAAAGTAGGTTACCCTATCTCGTAAAGCGGGAGATGACTTTCAAAGTAATATTGAGCAAATGTGCAATATTTTGGAGAAAAAGGTTTGAAGGGAAAGTAGGTTAACTTATCGCTTGCTTGAAACAGCGGGTGGCCTCTATCAAAGTGATATTGCTTAAATAGCGGAGAAAAAAATCTTCTGAGTGAAAGTAGGTTAACCTATCTCATAAAGCGGGAGATGACTTTCAAAGTAATATTGTGCAATATTTTGAACAAAAAGGTTTGAAGGGAAAGTAGGTTAGCCCTTATTTTTTCAACAACACAACAATCGATAAAGAATGAAAAAGGGAGCCGGAGAAACATGACGTCAAACAATCTTATAAAACTGGAAGAGGAGCGACTACTTTCAAGCATATTCTATCGAACGAGGAAGCGTGGTTAAAGCGATAGCGCCCAGATTTGACCTACCTACGAGGATGGAAAAAGTTTGTCATAGATTTATTATGATAAAATAGGCTTAGCTTAGAATATGAATCATCGCATGGTGTGTTAGTGTGCAATCAATTTGTGGTAGATTAATTACAATTCCACTTCCTAATATTACGTTAAGCCAATTTTACCCGTAATTATGAACGGACATTTACCACTTTACTTTCTTAGAAATTATTTTAGTAGGCATGGCAGAGAAAAAGAAACAACGACATGATATTTTGGAGCTTGACGCTTGGACGGAGAAATGGAAAAGAGAGTTTCCATATATTATACACGATAAGAAAATAAGAACCGCAATCTGCACGTATGTTACTTACATTTCTGAGTTCATTATAAGAAAATTAGACAATATGGACCTTTGATCGAAGAATTCACAAACAAGGAGGCAGTAGTGATGGAATGGCAGAATCTTCGTCATGATCTGCATATTCTCCAAATACCGGCTATGGAGAACGTAAGTTCTAATCGGTAGCTACCATTTGTATTTATTTGTCGTATGCTTCTGATCTCTCATCCACCACACACGCACTTAGCTTCGAAGCATATGAAACCTAATTTAATATATGCAAATAAATTACAGGTATGCAAGTACTTAGCGGCAGCGCCCGAGTACCCATGCTTTCAAGTGCTGGGCAAAGTCCTACAAGTTTTCGCAGCCGGTACCTCGGGGGCCGAACGAGGGTTTTCTTCAATAAACATAATTAAGACGAAACACAGGTGAAAATTATTATAACAATTTTGAAAGTATGAGAATTTGAGCAAACTTCTTACTTATTTATTTAGAAAATAGGACTATATTTGATATTGGTGAATACCACTTTTGTAGGAATAGGCTTAGCAGCAGACACCTAACAATGCTTCTGAGATGTGGCGGGGAGACATCCATAAAAGCAGACAAAGCGGAATCATTCTTCATGGATGTCTTGCAACATTGGAAAGAGTCCAATCTACGTCGCCACGAACGGGCTGCAGAAGTCACGCCATCCATTTTTATTCGTTCGCTTTTGTATTTTTATTTGTGAATAAAACAAATGTGTCAACTGTGCAATTTTGTTACTTGATATCGAAGCCTTGTAACTTTCTCTCGTTGAAAACAAGGGTTGACCCCCGGGATATTTGGTGGACCACTCATGCAAAATGTATGTTATGATTTGAGAAAAATACCGTCGTTACTTTTTAAATAACAAATTGATAATTATCCGATTGGTTCTGGCTCCGCCTGCAAATCCTTTTATGCACAGACCTCATGTGGAAACACCATTTAACAGTTATCTGAAACGACCAAACATTAATGTAATCCTAAGGCGAAGTTTGGTATCGATCTATGGCCGGCAGTAACACGAATGTGCAAGGCTTTGCTGGTCATTCGAGCAATTGACTCCGGTGGTTGATTGCAGGAAAGTTTCGTTCACGACAGGTGTGCCAAGCAGGTGTCCTTTCGTTAGTGATGAATTTGCTTCAAATCGCGACAGGTGTGCTCAGCAGGTGTCTTTCCTTGCCGATGAATTCTCTCCTTTTAATCAAGATTTAAAGGAACAGAGAGACTCTTTTTAATTCGTGAAATTCACAGAATGAGCGCTGTTTCCAGTATTTATGTCTAAAATGAGTTATAACAAAAGCTAGGGCACCTAACTTGTTAAAATCGAAAAAAGCACTTTGTTGTTAAAATCGAAAAAAAGCACTTTCGCACTTTTTTTTTCGACTGCCAAGCACTTTCGCACTCATAATTTCCTTAGAGTTAACACTGGTCATGACCATGTCGCACACCCGATTTACATACATAATACATATTTTAGTAATAATAAAGAACCTAAGAATATTAGTAAAACTACAGGCATGAAATACATGGCAGAATTCCTCCCGAAGAATGACAATACAACCCCGAACCCTTGAGCTTTTTTTTAGCTGAAACAACGAAATTTGTTTGTTTGGTTTTAGTTTGGTTGTGGCAGCATCAGGCGGGCCAGATTAAATTACCAAACAGGCCGGTTTCGGACAGCGTCACATAGTTTGCCCGAGTTAGGCTTTAACTCCATCATTTTAGATATCCCTGTCTCACACTCACCTGTTCAAGTCTTGTAAAATCCTATTTGCATGTCCATTAGTCTTCACTTTAATTTCGAGAGGCATTTTACTGATATTTCTAACTATTGACTCTGCAATTTGAAACTATAAATGACAAGAATAAAACAGTTATAAATAGCCATGTAGAATTTGTCATAGGTGTTCAGAATACAATTTAAAAATGTATAGCTAATTTCTCTCAAACTAAAGTCTTACTTTTTGTCATAAAATTAAACTAAAAGAGAACAGGACAATGTATCGCATCAGGCTTAATATTGGGAATATGCATGCCACCGCACCTTTGATTACCTTGCGCAAGTGCGCAGGTTCGAATCCTCTGTGAGGGATAATTATGTGCGAGAGGATTGCTGGACTCCTCACGGCCGTATGGTGGTTCACGTAACATTAACCACTGGTTGGTTTTGCCTTCATCCACCATCAAGTTCATGCATCTGAAAATGAATAACTGTATAACTAATCCCACACCCGACATGGCTAGACGCTCTGGTCCATAATTATGATTGAGCCATATTACTGACTTTCATACGGAAATGACTTTCATAAGGGAATAAATATGTAAATCCTATTCTATCCCAAAAATCAAGTAGTAAAATGTTCAATCAAATGCTTTATGCTCAAATCATTATGATTTACCGACTTCTCATATCCTGCTTTTGGGATCATGCTGGTATATAAGACATTTGAATATCTTTTCTAAAGTAGTGGCAGATTTATCGTAACCTGTCGGATGTCGGTATTAGTACACTCCAATTTATCAACTCTTTTTCTAGTTATATTGAGCTCCTTCAAGCCTTGTGTCATTCGGTATTTACTAAAACCTAGTTAATCAATATAAATCTTTAGCATGTCAACAGCTTTTGACCTTTCGGTGGTCGCCTGTAACTTATCTAAAAAGACCTCTTTTGCTTTTGACTTCGTGTGCATGACCTTACTTTTCTTTGCTTTCCTAAATTTCCTAAATCCTAAAAGACCTAAATTTTCTTATAATAATAATTGTCAAATTGCCTTATCAGCTTTCCTCTCTTGGAGAATAACTTTCTGGATAAAGAGCAGTCTGGCAATGTTGAGGCCAAAGTTCACGATATTCCTGATTGGTATAAACATAAATCCACTTTGCAATCAGAATTCAAATAAAAACCGACGATAACCAATTCTTCACAGATAAATGTGATGTTTCGTGCATAAAAATATTCCAAAATATAACGATCACAAGTCCGCCAAACTCCCTCCCCACTTCATCATGCACCACCCATTGGATGAAATTATCCTGATAGTTTTGATGGAACAAATGGGCAGTTAAAATAGTTCCAAAGAAAATATATCCAAAGTCAAATACTTTTATGAATTTTGATTCAGATAGTGAAGGCCTAAAACCAATTAATCCAGAAATGATAGCAGGAGCCAGATATACCGGAATCCATAGCTCAGGATCTGGGTCATTGTATTGTACAAATGCTGACAAAATAAAGAAACTTGCAGCAATAAAATTGAGGATACGAAATATCACCAAAGCTAGCATTATCACATTTTAAAGATTAGATTCTGAAAAATAGAAAACAGGCGTAAGTTATATTTGCAAGTTATATATCATACTTGGGACAAACATTTTACCTGTAAAACCATAAAAACCTTGGCTCAAATAAACTTCACTTGACCAAAAGCCTGATAAACTAGAAACTAGCAGCAACAGCACTTTGACATTAGTATTAGGATTATTCTGACTAGTCATGCTTCAATGATTCCCATTCCCATGTAAATAACAGTGTTGAGTAGAAGTCTCTAAATGCGGAGTCTGAAGTCGAGCCACGGGTCATTCAAAATTTAAAGTCAAATCTTAGTCGCAGCAAATTTTTAACCCCAAGTATAAGTGGAGTCACAATATGGAGGTAAAGTAATAATGAGAGATTTCATAAACAACAGTGAAATGGATAAATATGAGTCGCAAAGACACCAAGAAATGAAATATACTTACATTAACTTGTCCCATTCTCAGCAGAACATACAGAGTTTTTGCCTACAATTCCATGAGAAAAGCAATATATTGTAAGCATGCTCTAATACAGTGTTTCCCAACTTTTTTTCAAACCACCTCAATTTTTTAAAAAAATAAATTTTGTGATATTTCACTACCCAAGGATATGCTCACATAGAAGCGCAATGTAGTGTTTTTCAGTCGCAAAATTGAAAGACTATGTGAAACAATTATTTTTGAATGGCCTTTTTTACCTAGAAATTCCGGTACTTCCGTAGTATGTGTACCAGGTTAGGGTTAAGCCATATTTTTATTCCAAATTTCCCTATTTTTGTTTCCCTATTACGAGTTCGGTACCGTCAGTATTAGCCAAGTGAATATACCTTGCCCATAGGCTTCAGTCTCTTTACACAACTTAATGTAAAGTAAGCAAACAAAATTAGTTACTTCCATATTGGTACACATACCTCTGGAGCACCAAAGGCACCTTAGTACAAAAGATAATATTTACAAATCAAATCCACATCTGCCTGATTGTAATCAGCGAGTTTCTAAAATCGTGGCGTGGCTTCACTTAAGCAAAATAGATACTGCCAAGTTTTTATGCTATGATACCACATAAACAGTTACTAATGAGCGACACTCTAATACTTAATATAAAATAAACAATAAAATCTACTAGCAATGAAATCGGAAATTTTTACCAAGTTTTTGTTGAAAAAAACAAATGACACAAGATGATTTTCAAGCAACCCAGTTTATGACAAAGACCGTAAACAAAACTCAAAACAGTCGACCCAGACCCACAGGTTGAAAAAAGATTAAAAGTTTTGCACTGAGGTGAATTTCTATGTTACTGTGTTAGAACAAGGATTGTGGACTTATTCAGTATTAGTCAACTTTACCATGACTTGACCTAACATGAGAAAACAAAAAGCTAGCAGCACAATCGCTCATAAATTGAGATGAGAATATTCTGACCAGTCATGCCTCAATAATCGTCATAACTTGCTGAGGTAGAATCAAACTAAACCTGATTCAAAACTTTAATCTGTCTGGGAATCAGTAATAATTCCCCCCGACAATTTTGAGTAAAATAAACAGCTCGAATTTAAAAAAGCATTTTCTATGCAAGGATAAAAGCTGATAGCTTAGTATAGAAGATTAAATATCTTTTAATTCTGTAATTTGAGATTTGTTAAATTCAGTGAAACTTGAACAAGCGATTGCAAATATATAATTCGGTCAGAATAGGGTGGTTCAAATAACTGCTGGTTCAACTTCCTTCTCCACCAAGTCCACGCATCTGAAACAAACTGGCTAATCAATTCCATACCGGTACCGACATGAACTGGTAACTGGACGAGAAGCTGTGGCTTGCAATCGGCTCTCCTCTCCCCGAAATAAATATATAAATTCTATCTTTTGTCAATTATGCTAGAGTAATAACATTCAGTACCAAGATTTCCAAATTTCAATTCAATCAAATATGTGATTCTTCTGTCTTTACAGTAGTAAGTAGTAAGGAAAATCAAAATATACTTATACTAATATTATCATTATACTTATAGTCTATATCAATTTCATTTAAAATTCTTAATTCTTCTTCTGCATGCAATATTTCTATACTAAAAAATTTGGTACCGGTACCATTACAGCATTATACTGTTATATAAGTCTTTACGAGACGAATAAAAATCCCAGACCCAGAATTTACAGCATTCGGGATCAGCTGTATTTATATATATTCCTGGCGATTTCTCATCTATCATAATCGTATATGAACATTGGAATCATCAGGTTTTCATCAATCAGAGATGGAAGAGATCGCTAGGAGTCTATTACATTTAATTTTATCTACCTGCATTTTGCTGTTTTATTCCAAGCGCAACACTTATTTACTCCATGTAAATTATCCACGGATTCCAGCAAGTACAGAATTATGTGTCTTTTATCATTTAAATTGAGTTATAAGCATTTCCCGATATTGAATCGTGTCCATATTCTTTTGTATACTTGTATCATTCTTATTTTATTTTTTGGTGGGCGGGCGCGTACTTGTACGTTTTTTAACTTTATTTTAAGTTATGTTCGCCTTCCAGGAATTTCTGTATTTGTTTGTTTACTTTTTGTGTTGTTCCGTTCCATACAGGTAGGTACCGAACCAGTACGGTACCTATTCAACTCTACAATCTGAACAATTGCAGAATTGCGATTGGACTATGCTAGAATGCGCAAACAATGCACTCCATGGTAAAGGGGTCATACAGTACAGTACAAAGCAAGTATTACAAACTTCAAAGAGACCATAAGTAAGACACAGTCTTTATTTGAAGTAACAAAGCGGCCCTCAACGAACACAACACCTGCAACACTGAGTTATAATAACAATAGATTAATAATAACAAAATAGCAGAACTTTTTCATGCCTTCAAAATTCATCCTACACGGGAAAATAATTGTTCGTGCGTATGTAAATATTTTCTAACTATTGGTTTAACATATTTGCATACGGTTTTTGCCAGTTGTATATTTATTGCAATTTATTAATTTTCCCCAAAAATATATTGTTTGCTTCATACCAGTTGTATGTGTTTTATTATGGTGCGTCAACGATCATGGGTTAGTCGAGGTTATTGGATCATAACGAATATTTTTATCCGTGGAAGACGAAAGCCGTTTAAACGCGTCAATAATTTGAGTGATCTTACGATTACCAGACCGCCTCTGTTATGAAATTAGATAGCCATCTATTTGCTCTAAATGACTGGACTCAATCGCGGAGGAATCCGTAGCGGACCAGCAGTTGCGTCTGTTGAAATAAAAACTCTTTCTCTCTCTCTCTCTCTCTGACAAACTTTCGGTAGTGGGAGAAAAGAGTGCAAACACCTAAAATATTCCCGCCTCTCGGTGGAACTAATCATCTTTGTTTACACTTCCTTGTTGAGACCTACATAAGTCATTTTTGACTAATTTTTATGCAAATGGTGTTGTTTGCGCATTCTGTGGCAGATATGCGGGCAACTTGTTTCAACCAAACAACCACTTAGATGAAATTTTGACTCATAATTTTTTATATCAATGATTCGAAACGTATCAATGAAAGTTCGGTTTCTTCACCGTTCTCGTCGATATTTGTCGCTTGAGTTTACACTTGATTTGTAATCATCACTGTTACGTCTTCGCATCATGAAGTATTTTAGCGTAGCCCAATGAAAAAAAAATTTTATGCCACAAGTTTTGCAAAAGCTTCAGTTGCACGGTGTCTAATAGCTGTTAACTGGCGCACAACACTCCATCATAATTGTATATGATTTCAATGATGGCCAGTACTTTACTCAGGTATGGGCCAATAAGAAGCGGACGTAAACGAAATAGTTTTAAAATTCTGACGTAAACAAATCAAAAGACGGACGTATGTGAACTTCTTTCTCCATGTAAATAGGAGTCGCATGATTTTTCAAATTAACAGCAATTACTTGTATATACCGTATATATTATATTTATTTCATTGACAATATTCATAAGTAACCACGATATTTGATCAGGGAATGATCGAACATTTTATTACAGGCCGTATCCCTGCTGTATTATGCATGTACTTGAATATGTTCGTGTGGCAGCTTGTTTTCTGGATCGACTTACTTGATATTAAACACATCAGCAGTAAGATTACGACGATGTAACAGTCGCATTTCACATTGGGACAGAATTCCAAGCTTGGTTATAAACATTCATTTGTTTTCCTAATTTCGAGTTTATTTGGTAGTTTTCAGTAAAGTTTCGAACGTCCCCGAGAATAAACCAGACGACTGAGCTAAAATATTGTTTTCATTTTGAAAGCTTATTAATTAAAGATCAAAATTATTTTACTTTCACAAAAGTAAATAGTTTGTAAAATTTTTGATTCTGAATTCCTCTTCTTTATAAATATAAATTGAATTAAATGATAACAAATTTTTTGAAAGTGCAATCGTCTTTTCCACGTTCAACAGCAATAAATTCCCACTTGATACCAAAGAAACAAATTTTCGTTGAAAAACAAAGCAATCCTCCAAATTGACATGGAATTTGAGAAATGGATAAATTCATTAATTTGTTAGTTTATTTAATAAAGTTCTCTCACAATGTAAGGTTTAAACATTTGGAATGCATCAAACGTAATCAATTCAAACAATGTGATTAAAAAGACAGAGAGGCGGATCATGCAGTGGATTTTGAAAACTGATAAAAAGTGAAGAATTGAATTCAGCGTTAAATGCATGGTGTAAAGTATTGATTGCATATAGGCGATAAAATATACAGCAAAGATGAAAAATAAATTAATAATCATCGAATATATTGGAAGCAGAAATAAACTTTAATAACAAAAACATCTATACAAAGATGAATGCAATTTATTGTATAAGTATTTTGCAGATAGCACTGGAAAAGGTTTGTTTAAAGTAAAACTATATTGAATATATTATATTGTGCGGAAAAGGCATCTGCTAATTTATAAATTCCAATTCATTCACGGATTTTAATTAAGAAATGATAACTGAATTCAATTGAACAAGAAACAGCTTGA